GATCTCGATAAGAAAATCAGTTGGGATATCGACTTTGCTGATGTTGCTATCACTGGCGCGCCCGCGTGTATTCCACAGACTTATATGGAGTTGGCAGTTTTTGAAATAGAATTTAATGGGAATTACACTGTCCTTCTAGACGCAAGAAAACAGAATAGAATATGTTATTTACAAGAATACATACAAGAAACAGACGAAAACGGTGCTATACGAACTACTTGTGTTCAAGCTTGGGATGGAAAGAGGTATGGTGCTTATAAGGATATCGACAATGAAGGCTTTCTTGTAAGAATTAAAGGAAGTGATAAAGGGAAACGAACGTTTGCAGTCATGACCAATGACCAAAAAGCTTTAATCACACTTGAGATATCAGTCGTTTGTCCAGATGATTGTAACCATGAAAAAGGGTTTGGCTCATGTTCAACTCGTGAAGGGAAGTGTGTTTGTGAAGATGGATATGGTGGGTTTGTTCTTTGATATAAATATTATTTACACTTTTTATAATGATATACAAACTATTCTATAAATACAAATGTTATGATTATAAATATAATTGAATAACATGTAGAGACAATTGTCATAGAAAATGTTACGACAAAGGAACGTGGAATGAAGACTCCAACGGAAAGTGTTTATTTGATTCACTCTTTTGCGACCAATACTGTAAATGTGAGCCGGGAACAACACTCAAAAAACACCTGTGTATTTCCTCTCAATGTACAAGTGGGCACATCATTGGAGATATGTGTAAAATTGGAAGTGATGGCTGCAAAGAAAATTGTGAATGTAATGCTGAATTGGGATTTTTCAGTGATGGACAAGGAAATTGTAAACATGAATTGTGTGGAAATGGAAAAATAGACACCAACCCTTTATTTACAGAAGAGTGTGATGGTGGTACCAATTGCAACTTGACTTGTTATTGTGCTGAAGGGTATGTGACAAATCCAACGGATAAAAGAAACTGCTACAAACCCTCTATTACTACTAGTGGGATTTTGGGCATTGTCTTTGGGTCTATAATAGGGTTTATTGTTGTTATCCTCGTACTTATTGGTATTATTGTTCTCATTGTTAAAACAGATAAAGTGTCGATTGAAATGTTTAAACAGCAGCAACCGATATATTATTTGTACATCAATGGTTCATCTAAAAAAGAGCCTTCAAAACTTTCTAAATATGAATTGAGTCCAACTTCTTTGGACTTTGGAAACGATGAAAAAGCGACTGATATTGGCGACACCCGATTTGAAAGGATGGAAATTAAAAATAGAAGTAGGAACAAATGGTTTGTTATTTTCATTTACTGTTTAACATGTGTATGTCTTTTTGGTTACTGTTATTTTTACAAAAGTATTGAAAGGTATTGATCAATAGGATGATGATCATATTCCATGTACCCGACTGCCCAAAATACGTCT